AGTTGGCAGCTGGCTGCTGGCTCTGTGGGGCCTCTCCAAACATCAGGGTTTGTTCAGGACATTTTCTCTGACTCACCCCTGGTGACATGACAGGCAAAGGCCTTGAAGCAAGCCAGTCAGCATTCAAGGTTTAGGATTCCCCCCCCCCCATTGGGAGTTTGATTTCAGAATTTGCAAGTTCCTTAATAAAACCACTGTAGCTTTAGCAGAACTGTCGCCATTCTGGGAGCCAAAACAGCAGAGACAACAACAAATAGAATGGTGAACCCTGCTGCCTTGGACTGAGGGAAGCTTTACTGCTTGGCAGTTGGCAGTTGCATTTACTTATTCCCTCAGCGAATATTTATTGAGCCCTTTCTAAGTGCCATGCCCACGCTAGGTAATGGAGGGAAAAAATGCAGTTCTGGGCCCTGGGACCTGACTATTTCTGGAAAAACAAAAACAAAATCAAAAAAAAAAAAAACAACAACAAAAAAAAAAAAACCCTGCAGAGTGTGTGTGTGTGTGTGTGTGTGTGTGTGTGTGTGTGTGTGTGTGTGAAAAACAAAACAAGATCTGAGCACAACATGATGGATGTGGTCGAAGAAAGATATGGACCACTTTTGGAAGTTAAAACCATTGCGTGTGCAAAGCAGGAGTGCATATAAAACGGAGACACAGGGCTGGAGAGTAGAGGTGGAGAATTAAGGTGGTACCTAGAGCATGTGGGGCTGGGCCATCGAGGTATAATTTGGTAGACAAGGAGCTTCTTGGGAGGCTAGAGGGGTTGTATAGCTCAGTTAGTACAGCATTTGTCTTGCATGCAGAAGGCACTGGGTCTGATACCCAGTCCAGGGTAAAACTGAGCATTGCAGCCTAAATTTGTAATCCCATACTGGGCAGGTATAGGTGGGAGGACCAGAATTAAGGTCATCGTCCTAGACTACGTAGTAAATTTCAGGCCAGTCTGGGCTGCAGAAAAGAAGTGGTTTCTTGGCTTTTCATCCTAAAGGCAACATGAAATCACTGAAAGGCTTAATGGAGATGCCTGGGAGCTTTCTGTGGGGGAATGCCTGAATTACATTTGCATTTTGCAAAGATTATTCTGGCTGCAGAGCTAACATCCTTTAAGGTAATTTCTGCTCAGCAAATCCAATAAACACAGCCCAGTGGTGCCAGTGGAAGTAGGAGTGGGTACCTTGCAGCCAGACCCGTGTTGGAGTCCTGACTGCATGCCTCACTGTTCATGTGGCCTCAGACAAGTCAGCCTTTCAAAGCTGCAGTTTCCTCATCTGCAAAATGGAATAGAAATATCTCTGGTGTTCTTGAGAGGGTTAAAGGAATGACAATACATAAAGCCTTCCTATTCTCTAAAGCAGAAATCGATGTTCAACTTATATATAAGATAAGGAAGCTAACATTCTGTGGGCCAGTTTGTCATAGACAAAACACTTTGGACTTCAGGAGCCTTTCAGCTGGCTCTACATCCTTTGTTTGGAAGTCATTACTCCTGCCTCTTCAACAGCAAACACACGACAACTACAACCACTCATTTAACGAGCTAGCTAAACTGTTGCTATCCACTCCACTCTTCTTACTATGTGTGGTCTTTGTCAGATAAGAGACCGCAGGGGAGATGGACAACCAGAAGGCAGACAATTAAATGAGCCCTGCACCGACAGAAGCCCGAGGCTGTGGGAAGGGGTGTGCGGGGGACGTATGGGAGATTTGCTGGTAATGAGGAAGAGTCTATGGTGGTGTTCTCTAGTCAGAGTACGGTCAACATTTTTGTTCTGTTCGGATAGTCCTGTATTCTGCATGCTTTCATCTCGTGGTCCGCCTGGGGGCTTGCCAGAACACAATTCAATGTCTCTTAAGTCTAGGTTTTGTCAGAATACATAAGAGCCTACCCAGAGTCTCCCACTGGCCAATGGTGAGATGATGTCAGCAACAATGGTGTGTAATGGATCACATATATCTATCTAGATTCTTGACTTATATAATGATACTTAGTCACCACTGTGAGAAGGTGAAATGAGAACAATAGAGGACTTTGGGAGTCTGAGAGTAAAGGCAAGGAATTAAACATTTGTCTGTCTTTCCGACACGTAATCAGCAGTTGTGGGGAAGATTTTCTTATTGATTGAAGCAACATGGCACAATGTAGTCCTGGCTGGCCTGGAACTTGCTGTGTAGACTGGGCTGGCCTTGACCTCACTGAGACCCACCTGCTTCAACCTGTTGAGTGCTAGTATTAAAGGGACACATCTTAGTGCTGTTTTTTGACCTTTTGAACAGAAGCATTTCTGGAAAAAAAATGTGGGAATGGCAGAATATTATTTTGTAATTGTCAATGATTGTAGGCATTAACTGTCAGTGACTACTAAAATCACGAAAAGACAACCCCTGCTGTGTGCCTCCTAATGGAAAAACAATGCTCTCGCCTAAACTGAGCCAGATATAAACTCCTGTCTGTACCTCCTGTCTGTACAAAAGAGAGAATGGGGGTATGTTAAATGACAGTGAGAGACAATAAAAAAAAGTGAGCAGAAAGAGACCTATGAGATACACTACCTGTTTACCCCTCTAGAGGTGGTGGCATCTGGGAGAAGAGAGTCAATAAAGGAGGCAGACTACAGTCTCATGCAACGGCCAACCTTATTCAGAGCATCAGACAATTTATTTCCGGAGGGTTAAGAAGAGTCACTTGAATGAAGTGTCCAATCACAAGGGCAAGCAGCATGTGGTGGACAAGCCTTCAGTGGTAAAAACATGTTTTTCCATAGAGACACATGAAATAAATCAGTTGTAATAAGTAATCACTGGGGGGGGGGAGCACATTCCAAGAACAGCCTTGTGTCTTTGAAGAAACTGAGGTCATGGGACTCTTGTCTTGGTTTCTTGGAGTTTTCTCACAAGTGCTCAGAAATCTCATAGGACTCCATTCCCGGACTTTGCTCCCATATTACCTAACTACACTAAGGAGCCAGGGAAAGTATAAAATGCTAAACAAGACTGATATTAGCACTAACTTCAACAGTGGTGGGGCATTTGATGATTTTCAAGGATTTATTCCTAACTTTCTATGTGTGCAACTGTCCTGTAGTTAAATGAGAGAAGGGGTGAGGGTAATTCTTAGCGTTCCAGAGCTAGGGATCTAACCCAGGGCCTGCCCATACATAGTAAGCACCCTGCCTCTGAGCTGTATATTCTCAGTCTCGAAGTCATTCTTTTTCAGTGAATGTGTTTTAAGATAAATGATACGATAGCTACAGTTAGGAGCGGGGACAGAGATGGGGCAAGGGTGTCAATGAAGGAAGGTGAGGCATGAGCTGATAGTTGCTGAAGGTGAACCAGGGGCTCGGGCTATCTAATATTTTTCAGACAGGAAAGAGTTCAGAAACACACTAGTCAACCTGTCTGCCCCCCTCTTTTATAGTAAAGGCATTCACTATTATTAACAATGTTCTGTTGACCTGCCAGCTCCCTGAACTGACTCAGCATTTCCAGCTAAGAGTGCTTGAGTACTTCTCCTGTGAAAATGACTCCATCCGCGGTGCGGGCAGGGGTAGAATTCTCCAATCCAGTTCTCCGAGTCTCGCCATACTCGGAAGGAAATGAGGGCACAAAGGTTTCCTCATACCTTAGGGCACTGGTTCTCAACCTTCCTAATGTTGAAACCCTATAATACAGTTCCTCATGTCGTGGTGACCCTCTCCCCCTCCCCTTGCTACTTCATAACTGTTATTTTGCTACTGTCAGGAATCGCAATGTTTTCTGATGGTGTTAGGTGACTCCTCTAAAAGGGTCATTCAGCTGCCAAGAGTCGTGACCCACCGGTTGAGAACCGCTGCTGTCATTGATTTCCTGTAGAGACAAAGACAAGTGCATACTGCAGTTGGACAGGGTTCTGCAGGTGAATGAATACCCGAGTAAATTTAGCCCAGCGCATCATACTCCCAAATGGTGGCATGGGAATACCAATCATGCTTGGCTCGAAGCTCAGCTATGAAGATTGCCTTTAATGTGTTGTGCATTCATTCCATAAACAAGGAGCTCTGAGCTCTTGTTTCTGGGAGGCGAGTGAGTGGAGTAGTGAAGAAAATACAAGGGGCAGCCCATTTGGAGCCTGAAGGGAGAGATCCAGACCAGGTGGGAAACAGTACTTCAAATGACCACAGCTAGGAAACACAACACAATCATTTGAAAGAGAACAAACAGTTCCTGAGAGGTGAGCTGCAACCTTAGGGACTGATCTGGGTCTATCTGGAGGGTGAGCTGGTCGAACCTCATGTGACCAACAATATGCTTGCTAGGGATGAACTGTCCTTGCCCAAACAGGAGCCGTGCCCACTCCTCTCAACTTCCTGGACAACTAGCAATGTGTAAGGATGTTTGGTTGCCATATCTTGGAAATGGGGGAGGGGGGCACATGGTCATGTCATTTAGTGGATAGAGACCAGGCATGCTCCCCTCCAAACTATGGCTTACCTAGGGCAGCCCAGGCCGCCCAAATTAAACTCTTCCAAAATGTCAGGAGTGGTGAAGCTGATAAAACGTGCATGCTACACAGAGAACAGCAAGGACAGGAATGAAAGGAGGAGTAAGCTGTCCTGCAGGGAACAAACCTAAGTATAGAGAGAGCCTGAGTGAATGGGAACGATGTGGAAGGCGGCTACTAGGCTGGGCTCTGCTAGTGAGGAATTTGGGGTTACCCTTAAAGCAGCGAGAAGCTCTCGGAAACGTTTCTGCCGGGAGGGTGATAGCCTGTGCGAAGCGCTTAGCACGTACGGGCGCTCAGTGGATAAGGTCTGTTATTTGTCACCATTGTGTCTTCTTCCCTACCCCGCCCAGCCCCGACCCCTGCCGCAGCGTGGCCGCAGTGACTCCTCCCAGCCAGCAGAGGGCGCCAGCCCGCACTTGGCCGCTGGCCGCCCGAGGCGGGTCTCCTCTTGCCTCTCCCCCCTCCCCCTCGTCTTTTCCCCCTTAGGAGAAGTCGGGAAGGTGGCGGCGGCGGCGGCGGCGGCGGCGGTGGCGGTTGTCCCGCCCGGCCGGTTGGTGTGACGGGTCGGCGCGCGCTGCGCAGCGTCGGCGCTTCGTCCAGTCAGGCGGAACCGAGCGGAGGCCGAGGCCGGAGCCCGCGCGGGCGGAGGAGGGCGAAGGCGGCGGCCAGGGCGGCCCGTGGGAGGGAGCGCGGGGCCCCGGCAGCGCCGCCGGCTCCCGGCCCTGCCGGCCTCGTCGGTCGGAGCCGCGGCCATGGCGGCCAGCGCGAAGCGGAAGCAGGAGGAGAAGCACCTGAAGATGCTGCGGGACATGACGGGGCTGCCGCACAACCGCAAGTGCTTCGACTGCGACCAGCGCGGCCCCACCTACGTGAACATGACGGTCGGCTCGTTCGTGTGCACCTCCTGCTCGGGCAGCCTGTGAGTGCGGCCGGGGCGGTGGGGCCGTTTGGGATACGGCCGGCCTGGGCCTCGGGGTCCAGGATGCTCTTTTCGCTTTGGCCGGGCGAGGGTCCAGCCGTGGGGTGGCCGGCGTGGGTGGGGCGTGGGTGGGGTCGGGGTCAGCGAGCGGCCGGCCCGACGGAGCATCCCGGCTTCCCGCCGCCGCTCAGCGGGTGTGGCCCGGCCTCGGGGGGCGCAGGCCCGGAGCAGCCCCTGGAGGACTGTGCGGGGCCTTTGTGCTCCCCGCAGCTCCGCGGTTTAGAACCCGGCTTATGCTGGGCGTCGCGGAGCGGGTGGGAGGGGAAAGAGCAGGGACGAGACTGGGGGATCTTTCTCCGGTCCACAGGACCAAGGTAACTGGGGCGGGGAGCCGGGGGTGGCGGGGAGCCGCGTTCAAACGTCTTGATGGCTGAGATGTGAATCCCAGGGGAAAAGTTCTCCCTAGAGGATTAATTTCGTGAGGGGGTTGGGGGAGAGGCAGCAGAAGCACGAGGGTTGTGGCTGCATGGCTCCGAGTGTACTGAGTTGGGAAAGTTTTACTGGAAATGGGGTATCAGGAGTTATGCGGTTCAGAATAAGGATGGAGCTCGATGAGTTTTTGGATCAGTACCCGGGTGTCCTGGCTGGATGGAGAAATGGGGACAGGGAAGACAATATTGAGAAAGGAGATGGAGATGGCCGCCGCCTGGAATTACTCAGACGGTTTATGTCTGGAGTTATCTGTTGAAGCTTTCTTGGTGGGAATTTTTGTTCCTGTATAATTTCATTTGAAAAAATTTCAGGTGATTCTGATACTGATTCGATGCCCCTATGCGATAGCTATCTTGGATTCAGTATAAGTTATTAATGAGCTTGTAGTTAATAGTCATTGGGTTTTTAAAAATTATTAGCGAGTGTGTGTGTGTGTCTGTCTGTCTCTGGGGCCATGGGTGCATGATTTGTATACCTGGGTTTGCTTTTACCAGCCGAACCTTTTTGCCGGCCCTCCCCTCATTTTTTATTATGAATGAGATTAGTAACAAAGTATTTGTACCTGTCTAATAGTTCAGTGTTGACTGTTGACCCTTCATTTTCCCTTTTTATTTTCTTTTTTGTTTTGTTTTTTTCGAGACTGGATTTCTCTGGCTTTGGAGGCTGACCTGAACTAGCTCTTGTAGACACAGATCCTCCTGCCTCTGCTTCCCAAGTGCTGGGACTAAAGTTAGAGCAAGGAAGTGCCCTTGGTTGTCCATGAGCATTGCATTATTTTGGGTGGTGCTTACTAGGTTTTGCATGAAGCTTTAGGGTGTGGTGATAAATGCTGCAATGGCCTTGGTCTCTTGGCATTCACATTCCAATGGAGAAAATGGAAAAGCATAGCTAACAGGGTACTGTACTGAACTTTGGGAGTCCCAAAGGTTACTTTCCCATTAGGTAAACGCTCAGAATTTGCCACAGCTGCATACCAAGTAGGAGATAGTATGTGTGGTTCGTGGTTTTCATTTATAAAGAATATAAAATTACGACATTAGAATCATTTATGCTAGGCAGCTTCGGTTCCAAAATTATTAGCTAATCAATTTCTTTAAAGTGTATTTTCCTTTTAATATGTGATTAAGAAGTATGTCCTGCTTCTGTCATCATGAGGTCCTTAGATACATTTGAGCCTTTGGGTTGAAACATACATATTTACATATGTATAATTTATCTACTTGTTTGATTATTTATTTATGTGACAGGGTTTCTCTGTGTAGGTCTGGCTGCTCTGGAATTTGCTCTGTGGACCAGGCTGGCCTTGGACTCATAGAGATCTGCTTGCCTTTGCCTCTAAATTCTGGGATTAAAGGCCTGAGCCATCACCACCTGGCTATATGTATGACTTATTGCTCTAGATTTTCGTCTTTAGAGCTCTTTGTAAGTACTTAAACTGCTTCCCCTGCAGCAAGTATGTAATGTGAAGAAAATAGAAACAGGAGACATAGGATCTGTCAGTGTAATTTTTTTTTTTTTTTTTCCTCACAGCTCTATAGCCCTGGCTGACCTGGAACTGCTTTATAGACCAGGCTGGCCTTGAACTCTGCCTCTTAAGTGCTGGGATTAAAGGCGTTTATCACCACTGTCAGGCTTATTGGTATAGTTTTGAAAGTTACACTTGTTTATATTGTTTGCACACACATACAGACATTATTTTTTTTGGGGGGGGGAATCAATAAAGTCTCAATCCATGTGTGAGTTGCAGTTTTCCTGAGCCTGCATTGAAAAGATGTGGTGAAGGACAGACAATGCAGACATTAATTTTTTTGTGCACATGTGCATACCTGTGTTTTTATGCACCCTAACACTTGGGTGGCTGTTCAAGGAAGGCTTGAAGGAGTCAGCTCTCTCCTTTCACCCTGTGGACCTGGAGTTTGAACTAGGTCATTAGGCTTGGTGGCAAGTGCCACTGAGTGTCTCTGGGCTCCCAGTATCATTTTTTATTTTAAAGGATTTTTTCCCCCTATGAGTGTGCTGTTCTTACAATGAATGAATATGTATGTATGTATGTATGTATGTATGTATGTATGTATGTATATGAAGGTTGGTTTGGAGACTTCACAGAGGAGTTGATGTCTGAGGAAAGATCCTCAAAGACAAGTTTCAGGTAGCAGCAGCTTCATGTGGTAGAAGAGTGGGGTACTTAGGAGCTAGGTGACACTGCTTTTTAAAAGCCATGTAATTAATATTGAAAATATCCAGTCAATCAGCGGTTTCACATATATGAAATACTGAAAATAGAAGTTTTATTGCAAATTTGTTTTTCTGTACTAAAGAGGTAGAACCTCATACAATGCCTGGTACACAATAGAAGCCCAGCAGGTGTTGCTAACAAGAGGGATCAGGTCTAGAAAGTTGAAGACACTGTTCTGAGAAGCACCTTCATCAGAGTCTATCAGGTCTGAGTGTGGGCTGTAACCTGAAATCTGACTCAACAATATAAAGGCAATTTGCTGACTGGGCTTAAATATTTCCAAAAAGGATGGTTGCCCCCAGTTTCTGGAACCACAAACTGCACTTAAGTCTAGTTGAGGTAGCCAGTCACTAGCCACCTTGAGCCAGTGCCCTTTGCACGTTCCATCTTCAGATTCTTGCAAAGGAATTGTGATGCTGCTAGTAGCCATGGAATGTCTGCTGTAAGCATTTGGAGAAACTGTAGCTCCTGGGGATGTTTATCTTTGAAAAGCCATAATGCTGGAAAAACACTTTGGGAAGCCTGGAGTATTAAATATGTATTTCTTATGTAGATGATATGGTATAATGTACATGTTGGCTTGGATCTATCCCCTTGGCTTCAGGTTTTAAATTTGTGATGCCAGTATATTGTGTATGTGCTCATGAATAGTATGTGTACTGTATTAGCTTATTGAACACATTGTATTTGAGAATAGGGCTAAGCAGTGAAAGTACAAGTATGAAATAAGGCATGCTGGTGGTTGTTTGATTTCTCTAGCACAATGTCACTATATACGTATACATATTTCTACATTTTAGGGTACTAAATATAATACCTTGTTTTTCTTTTTCTTTCTTTTTTTTTTTTTTTTTTCTTTGAGACAGGGTTTTTGTGTACCCTGGCTGTCCTGTACCTTGCTCTATAGACCAGCCTGGCCTCAAACTCACAGAGATCTGCTTGCTTCTGCCTTTCAAGTGCTGGCATCAAAGGTGTGCGTCAGCACCTCCCAGCTTATAACTTATTTTTTACCATTCCCTCAATATCTTTGTGTAAACGAAGCCACCATTTTATTGCTGACACTACTGGTTTTGTTTTTGTTTTTCTTCCAGATTTCTGTCTTGTATGCTCAGATGGTGCTCATTTAGAATAACTCAAGGCAAAGTCTCAAGATAGTAAAAGAGACTTGCAATTTAGATGCAGGTCAGTTAGGGAGCAGGCCATTTGTGTCTGACTTACAGGCTGTTTCTCAGTTTCTTTTTATAGAATACATAAGTTATGAACTGTAGACAACAGTAAAACTTAGTCTTCACAGAACTAGGGTGCTAACTAAGCTCTGCGGTCACACTCTGAGACCAAGGCTTTGTTGTTGGAGATAGGGTTTCATGTCACCCAGGCTAACCCCAAACTCACTGTGGGGCTAAAGATGACTTTGAACTTGTGATCTTATTACCACTACTTGCCATGTGCTAGGTCACAGGTGTGCACTGCCACATCCTGCCTCTTATTCTTGTTATTTTTGCAGTCTACACTGACTGTAAACTGGAGTTGGTCCTCCTGCCTCAGACTCCTAAGTATTGGAATTATTTGTGAGCCACTGTGCAGGGCCTAAGGACTAGTATATGAGATTGCTTTATTTTGAAAAAAAAAAAAAAAAAAAGAAAAAGAAAAAAATGAAGGCTCAGGCAAAATAAAACAGTAAAATCTGAAAAAGCTTGCCATTTCTTTTTTAATTAATTGATTTATATAGGCAAGATGGTTTTGAATGTGCCATACTTCTTCTTTAGTCTTTGGATTATAAGTATGTGCCACCGTGCCTGGCTCCAGACAGCTCTTAATCAGTATAGAACTTAGCTGCAAGGAAGTCTCAACCACCAGATGCCCATTGTGTTAGACACTGTATGGAGCTTTTTCAAAGGGAAGTTAAAACATGGGTTAATTCAGCAGGTGGGTTATGGGACAAGCAAATGTAGACTGATCTTTTTGATCTTTTTAATGAGACCTACATGATAAATTTGTGAGAAACTCCTAAGGAGAACTTCAGGACTAGATATCTTCACCCTCTTCCAGTTTCTATCCATTGCACATTTCTCCATTTCAAATGGTCATAGTGAAAGTCTAGGGAGCACATGAATTTCTCTTAATGTGTATAAAAGATGAGTCATTTATAACTTTTGAGGACCTGGTCAGTAGCATATTCCTTATGACTTCCTTTTATTGCCTTTGTACATGAGAGTTACTGCTCTAGGGACACCCCACTTTACATGTTTAGAAGAAAATGCATTACTTTATA